AAGACTGTTTTTTGCCTTTCTTTGTATCCCCAGAGCTTAGCACAGTGCCTGACACCCAGTAACAGCTTGTAGTCCTGACTAGATTCCCCCTCCAATATACACAGAGACCCCCACTCAGCTCCACTCCCACTCCAAACACCCTCCCTACACACAGACACACACACACACACACCACAGAGAGACTCAACAGGACAGGGACAGATTGGGAGACACAAAGCCCTGAGGTTACAGAGACAGGTGGCCGGTCATCAGCGCATGCCCATAAGAAAATAACATGCAGGGATGCACAGGAACCCCATGAGCCGGGCACAGATGGAGGCAGTCACAGATGATCCTGCAATGCACCTGAGGACTCCCTAAGCCAGAAGACACAAATGCCCATCCTCTACTCCCCTGGCAAGCCAGCCTGGGCAAGGGATAGGGAGCAAGAGGTCTTCTTTCCCGCCCCCACCTCCACCCACCAAGTCTAGCCAGGCTGGCAGGAGGTGTCCAGATCCTGCAGATAACAAAGGAAGAGTGGCCACCTGGCCAGAGCGGCCCTCCACAAACCAGCCAAGCTTCCGTCTTGTCTCTGGGGGTTGGTGCTATGGGCTTTACATTGCTCCCACCCTCATTTCCCTCTCCTCCTGACAGGCAATACCCTCCCCCAAATTCCAATCTATCCTAAAGAGTTGGAGCAAAGGTCTAGGGAACATGGAGGCAATCCCCCTCATTTTAACACAGGCATCCCAGACAGGAAGCTGAAAGTGGGGCATCAAACAAGTCAGTGGCAAAGCTGGCATTTGACTGGGGCCCCAGACTCCAACTCTGCTCTTTCCTTCACTAGATCCTTCACAGGATGCCCAAGTCACCTTCCTCCATGAGTCTGTGACCTAGTCTTCCTCAGAAAATTCTGGTAGCTCTCTACTGCAGAAAGGCACAAGCAGAATTCCTGATCCTGGCACACCAGACCTCCCCAATCTAGCTCTACCCTCTAGAGAGGGTGCAGCCTGATTTGCCCTTTTCAGGTACAATCAATCCACCAGCAAACATTGCTTAAGGCCCTCCAAGAGCCAGGCACAGAGCCTTATGAAGGGGACCCAGACTCAAAGAAGACTCGGTCCCTGCCCTCACAGAGCTTAATGAGATAAGTGTGTATTCACAGATAAGCAAAAGCTGGGCACTTGGAGATATCTGTGTGATACTGGACAGGGTCATTGACAATGGAGAGGAATTCCTCTTAATGGAGGAGATACTAGATCTGAGCCTTCAAGGGAAGGGGGAGTGCATTCCTGGCTTGGAGGAACAGCCTCAGCAAAAGTAAGGAGGGGAGAGATGGTATGTGAGGAATAATAGTTGTCCACTCTTGGCTGGAGCATAGATTGGGTGAAGATGAGTCATGTGGAATCAGCTTGGAAGGCTGGAGCCAGGGTGAAAAGAACCTTAAATGCCAACCAGAGGAATTTGGGTTTTATCTAGAGGCGTGAGGGTCCCAGGGAGCTTCTCGAGAAGAAGACGGCCTGGTAGGACTTGTGTTTAAGGAAAATCACTTTGGCAGAGATGTGGAGGAAGGAATGGAGTGGAGACAGACTAGGAGACCAATCAGGAGAGGTTATTGCAATAAACAGTCCAGGTGAGGAGTGTTGAGTGCCTGCACTAGGGTGGTGACTTTGTGAGTGGATTCAAGAGATGCTGTGAAGTTCAAAATGATAAGGTTAGAGGATCTGAGATTTAGAGCTGGGAGGGACTTTGGAGGTCAAGTCCAACCTCCTCTTTTTACATGGGAGGAAACTGAGGCAGCCAGAGGGTAAGTGACTTGTCACCATCAGACAGATAGTAAGTGGCTATAGGCCCATCCTTCTGTCCCCACTGGCCTCTCAATATGGCAACTAACTGAATATGGGCGGTGAGGGGTGTCAAGTCCTAAAATAAATCAAATCCATGAGTTGAGGAATGAAGTGTTTTTAATTGAGGGAACATGGTAGCAAACCTGCCACTCTGTGGGATATCCCACCAGTGCAGAGCACAATGGATTTACCAACTCCAAGCAAAAGCTTCTTATACCTTTAGGAGGAGAGGGGGAGGAGGGTAATATGAAGTAGCAAGGCCTGGTCATGAGACCCTGTGACCCTTGGCAATCCAGGCAAGGAAAGTCACTTTATTCTGGCTATTTTGCCCTTCATGCCATGAGTCCCAACGGAAGTGGGCAAGGGCATTAGAAACTGAGATCCAGATTAAGCTCAGTTCCTTTACACGATAAAATCTTGGAGAGGGGGGATTTAGGGTATGGTTCAGCATAACCTAATCAAGAGTAATATCTTAAGAGTAGGAATGTAAAGACATTACTGGAATTTTGAGATTACTAGGATCATTAAGGGAGTGGCAAGTAAATTTGGTATTAACAATTTTCTGTCATTATGTTAACATAATGTTCAGTCATTTTCAGTCACGCCTGACACCTCATGATCCCATTTTGGGTTTTCTTGGCCAAGATACTGGAGTGGTTTGCCATTTCCTTCTGCAGCTCATTTTACAGATGAGGAAACTGAGGCCAACAGAGTCAAGTGACTTGCCCAGGGTCACGCAGCTAGAAAGTGTCTGAGGCCAAGTTTGAACTCAGGAAGAAGAGTCTTCCTGACTCCAGACCCAGCATTCTGTACTGTGGCACCACCTAGCGGCCCAGAAGCCAGAAGACTTGATTCAAGTTTAATTAGACTTTGGGTAGGTTTGGGAGTACAGTGGAAAATGGAATCAGAGGATCTGGTTTGTGTGGCTTTAGTTTCTTTATCTAAAAGAGGAGAGGGTTAGAGTAGATGTCCTCTGACTACCTTCCTATCCCACGAGTTTGGGGCTGGGATTGCTTCCAGGTTCAGAGAGGGAAGAAGGAGTCAGGTGGATCAAAGAAGTCAGTGGATGAACAGTGCCCAGCACATAGTAGGTGCTTGTGAGTGACAGAATTAGATGGTTGTTGTAATTCCTTCTCGAAGAGGACCAAAATGACATCACTATGTTGGTGTCAAATGCCATGTGTCTGACTGTGGCCGATCAGACCAATATGAGCTCAGAAGGCTCTACCACAGGTTGGGTACAAATAGTCCACATGAACATCTGGAGTGGACATGTCTCTAAACTGGCACGTCTCACTTTTTTTTTTTGAGCTACTGCAGGGCACAGTGCCCTTTTTGATTCCGGCACACCTTGCTAGGTGGTCCTTTGCCAGTGTCTCACATGATATGCAATCAATTCCAGAGAGAATGGATAAATGGATGGGTGAGTGAATGAAGAGATGAATGAGTCAATGAATAAGTCTTTCAGCTTTCTTTTATGTGTAGTCTTCCCCCATTAGAATATAAGCTCCTAGAAGGCAGGGACTATTTCTTTTTGCTTGTATTTGTATCCCTAGAACTTAACACATTTCCTGGCATATAGTAAGTGTTTAACAAATGCTTGTTAACTGACTAAATGAATAAATGAACAAGGAAATGAAGGAATAAATTGAGTGAGTGAGTGAATGAGCAAGTCAATGAGTGAAGAAATGAACGAGTCTCTCTTATCACCTTATTTGAAAAGAGGGGGGGTGAAAATAGAGAGAGGAAAAGCTGAAAAGGACAGGATAGAAGGAAATACACATTTGACAATCATAACTGAGAATGGGAATGGGATGAATTCACCCATAAAACAGAAAAGGACAGCAGAGTGGATTGAAAAACAGAATCTAACAATATATTGCTTAAAAGAAATGAAGACATAAAAATTCACATAGAGTAAAAATGATGGGCTAGAGCAAAATTTATTATGCTCCAGCTAAACTCAGATAAGCAGGAATAACAATCATAATTTCAGTTCAGGCTAAAGACTAAATAAACATCTATTAAACATCTACTACGTGCCAGGCGCTATGCTAAGAACTGAGGATATAAATACAAAAAAAAAAATGAAAGACATTTCCTTCCCTCAAGAAGCTTATATAATTGAGGCAAGACAATACACAAAAGGAAGCTGAAAAGATGGAGGGGAAGTGGAGAAAGGCCTGGTAGAAAAGTCAGGAAAATCCCAAAGTAAGCACTGCCAGGTGATAAACGAGAAGTCTGAGCTGAGCTCTCTTCTTAAAAGGAGACTCTGGAGTTTATGGCTTCATTCTCCAGTCAGAGAGACAGAGGGTGGTGATAAGGAGAAGTACCAAGGCTAATAAATATAGATATAATAAGGATATAAGCAAGGAAAGTCCATTATGCTTAAAGGCACTATAGATAACAAGAAATATTGATGCTTCATTTTTATCCAGAAAAGCATAGCATATAAATACTTATATGAAAACTTAATCAAATAGGAAGACATAGGTAACCATAATAGTGAGGAACCTAAAAGTACCTTTCTCAAACCTAGATAAATCTAACCAAAAGATAAACAAAAAAGATGGTAAGGACCTGAGTAGAACTTTAGAAAAATTAAAGATGATAGGTCTCTTGGCAATTAATGAATGAGAATAGAAAGCTGTACAAAGCACCTTTACAAAAATTGACCATATATTGGGGCATAGAGACCTAACTAAAAATGTAAAAAAGTAGAAATACTCAACATATCACTTACTGGTCACAATAGAATAAAAATTATATTCAGTAAAGGGTGCTTGAGGAGAGAATTAAAAAATAATTGGAAACTAAATAACTAAAGAACTGGTGAGTTAAAGGATATTTAGATAGAAACAGTATATAATATCATTAAAGAAATCACAGTAATGAGACAACATATCAAAATTTATGGAATGTAGCTAAAGCAGTTCTTAGGGGAAAGTTTACCTCTAAATAAATACATTTTAAAGAAATAAATACTACACTTTCATCAATAACAGACAGAAAGGACAAATCAATAAAATGAGCACACAGCGAAAAAAAAAAACTTGAACAACAACAAGTCAAAAAAACCCAACTAAGCCACAAAGTAGAAATTATGAAAATTAAAGAAGAGGTTAATAAAATTAAAAGAAAAGCCAACCCTATTGAATGGATAAATAAATCTAGGAGTTGGGGGGTTTTTTGGGAAAAAATTGTAATGGGGATCTGGCACATGCTCATGGTGCCTCAGATGGTGTGTGTCTCCATGTGGAAGACTCTTGAGAGCAGATGGCATCTCTCCACTTGAGAGCTTCTTCTGGGGGAATCATGGCAGGTAAAGGCAGTGTCTTGGAGAGACACTGGAGCATGTGTGGACATTCTGTAACTGTTTCCAGTTGACTAATTGCATAGTTGGGAGGAGTCCTTTTCAACTGGCTGTGTAGCCAGAACTGTTAGCCTCTTCCAAAAGGTTTGAGTCAGCACTGTCCATGTCTTTGCTTTCATTATTTTCAACTGAACCCTGGTGATGTGAGGGGTTAGCCAATGGTGTAAGGGAAGATCTATGGAGACTTCCGTCTCTGAGGAGAGAAATGGGGTCTTCTTGGCCCTTTCATTTATGCTTTTCTATTCTAGGTAGAGGAAGCAGAGCATCCATGCCTTAGCAATTTAGGAGTAGAATTCAGCTTGAGTGTTGCAGCAACCCAACACTGATGTCCTGAGGGGTAAGGAGTAAACTTTGGGACTGACCTAGAACTAGAGCCCAGCAGTAGCTGGAAACATCCAGTAGTGACCCAGTTTCCTACTTCTCTTCTAATTTGGCTGAATTGGTTTTGTTTGTGCAAATACTTTTGAATTTTATGTAGCCCAAATTATCCATTTGACCTCCTGTGGACTTCTCTATCTTCTTTGGTCACGAACTCTTTCCCTATTCATAGATCTGACAATAAATAAACTATTTAGATAACATAATAACTGAAAAAGAAATTGAACAAGTCAGGATCAGATGGATTTACAAGTGAACTATATGAAAAATTCAAAGAACAGTAAGTTGCAATGTTATATAAGCTATCTTCAATAATTTGTTGTTTAGTGATATTCAGTCCTGTCTGACTCTTTGTGACCTCCTTTCAGGTTTTCTTGGCAAAGATACTGGAGTGGTTTGCCATTTCTTTCTCCAGCTCATTTTACAGACGAGGAAACTGAGACCAACAGGGTTAAGTAACTTATCCAGGGTCACATAGCTAGTAAGTGTCTGAGGCCAGATTTGAACTCAGGTCTTCCTGATTCTAGCTTGGCATTCTATCTACTGTGCCACCTAGCTGCCTGTCTTCAATAATACGGAAAGACAATTTTTTCCAAAATTTCCTATAATGCAAATATGGTTTTGATACCTAAACCAGGGAGAGACAAAATAGAAAAAAGAAAATTATGGATTATTATTCTTCATTATATATTACAAATCATTAACATAATATATCATTATCGACCATCATGGCAAAATTTTTAAATAAAATATTAGCAAATAGGCTATAGCAACATATTAGAAAGATTAAGCACTATGCTAGATTCAATTTATATCAAGGTTGGTTCAACATACGAAAGACTATAAATATGATAAATCATGTCAATAATAATAAAAATTACGTAATAACTATAGACTCTGAAAAGGCTTGTTGATAAAACCCAACTGCCATTTCTGTTAAAACACACACACACACACACACACACACACACACACACACACACACACAAACCAAACCACACCACAACATTAGAAAGCATAGGAATAAATGGACATTTACTCATTGTACTCAATAATATCTATCTGAAAGCAAGATTAGACATATGTACAATGAGAGTCTGGTCCATATTCAGATCCTTTGAGATGACACTCCTCCATAAGGAGGATATCAGTGAGCTACTTCTGGGAGAGGTGGGGGATGTAAGTGCCTTGGACAGATTGGAGCATGCACGGACATGCAGGCAGCATGCATGGTTCTGGTCAGCTAACTCAAGTGGTAAAAGGAATGTTCTTAATTGGTTCTGGATCCGCTCAAAAAGGCCCTTCAGCTTTGACCACCTTCTCTTCGCTGCTATTTGACACTCTTTGCTTTATTGTCATCAGCTGACCTTGGTTGGGGTGATGGTGTTTGATAAACCACATTCCAAGGGGAAGGATTGTAGGAGTCTTCCTCGTCTGAGACCATATGGCTGCTGAGAAATGGGGGTTCCTTGGCCTTTGTGTTCATTCTTTTCTGTTCTAGGTACTAGGAGTGGAGTTTTCAACAATGGGAATTTCAAAGGCCAGAATAGTGAGCCATAGGAATTTAGGAGTTCGAATCTAGGCCAGGTTTGACAGCCAACATAGCACGGATGCACTGAGGAACAAGGAATGGTCCTTCAGGATTCCAGCTCAACAGAAAAACTCATGTTGCCTTTGGACATGAACTTGGTAGGGCTGATACATATCTAGGAACTATATGTGTCCAGCTATAAAATACTTTGAGGAAATAAAGACAGATCTCAATAACTGAAGAAATATTAAATGTTCAGGTTGAGTCAATATAATAAAAATGACAATACCTAAAATGAAAATACAATTAAAACACTCGTTCAGTATTGTGCCAATGAAATTACCAAAGGATTATCTTGTAAAGCTAGAGAAATAATGACAAAATTTATATGGAATAAAAAAAGATGATTCTCAAGGGTAATAATGAAAATGAAATGGAAAAGAAAGATGTTTTATCAGAAGTGGATCTCAAATTGTAGTACAAAGCAGTTACAATTAAAAGTGATTTGGTATTGGTTAAGAAATAGAGAAGTCGGGGCAGCTAAGTGGTGCAGTGGATAGAGCACGGGCCCTGGATTCAGGAGGACCTGAGTTCAAATCCGGCCTTAGACATATAACACTTACTAGCTGTGTGGCCCTGGGCAAGTCACTTAACCCCATTGCCTAGCCAAAAAAAAAAAAAAGAAAGAAATAGAGAAGTCAATTTCCAGATTAGATACGCACGGTACAGAAGCAAACATAGTAGCAGAGTGTTCAATATCCCAAAGACTCCAGTTACTGGGGGGAAGAAGGACTTGTTTTTTCACAAAAACTTCTGGGAAAACTCTAAAGCATTTTGGCAGTTACTAGATATTGACCAGCATCTCACACCACATACTTAGACAAACTCCAAATGGATCCATGACTTAGACATAAAAGGTGTCATCATAAGTAAATTAGAGGTACACGTTATTTAGTTTTCAGATCTATGGTTAAGGGAAGAATTCATGACCAAACTAGTGATTGAATGGATTGTATAAGACAAAAATAGATGATCTCGTTTATATAAAATTGAAAAGCTTTTTGCACAAACAAATCTTATGCAGTTAAAATGAGAACGGGAACAGTGGAAAAAAAATCGTTACTACAAGTTTCTCTGAAAAACTTCTGATATCCAAGATATATGAAGAATTGATTCAAATTTGTAAGACTTAAGATTCATTCTTCAGTAGACAAATGGTCAAAGGATACAAACAGGCAATTTTCAAAGGAAGAAATCCAAGCTATCAATAACCATATAAAAATGTTCCCACTCACTAAAAAATGTTGTTTGATCATTTGCGGTCGTGTCTCACTCTTCTTTTGATGACATTTGGGGTTTTCTTAGCAAAAATGTTGGAGTGGCTTGCCGCTTCCTTCTCCAGCTCATTTTACAGATGAGGAAACTGAGGTTAACAGGGTTAAGGGACTTGCCCAAGGTCACACAACTAGTAAGTGTCTGAGGTCAGATTTGAACTCAGGAAGATGAGTCTTCCTGACTCCAGGCCAGGCATTCTATCCAACTGTACCACCTAGATGCCCACACCCTAATAAATAGAGAAATGCGAATTAAAGCAGCTCTGAGGTTCTACCTCACACTCATCAGACCAGCAAAGATAACACAAGAGGAAAAATGATAAATGTTGGAGGGATTGTGGAAAAAAATAGGCATACTGATGCATTGTTGGTGGAGCTGTGTCATGGTCCTGGTGATGAACCTAAAATACAGAATGAGGCATGTACTTTTGGACATGGTCAACACAGGAATTTGCTCTGCTGGACCCTGTGTGTTTGTTGTGAGGTTCTGGCTGATTTGTCTGTTTAATTGTTTAATGGGGAATGAGTAGAGAGAAGAGAGATAATAAATGTGTGTTAAAAAAAAAAAGTAATGCATGGGAGTAAGTGAGTGAAGGTGTGAATTAAGAAATGGGTGTGAGTGAATGAGTAAATGAGTTAATGAATGAATAGAAGGATGCTTGAGTGAAGAAGTGTAGGAGTGAATGAAGTTCACCTGGTCCTGGGGTTGCGGGGCAGGAAGCTTCTCCAGAGGGCCAGGGGGGCACAATCCAACCTTGAGGCAGGGGCCTGGCCAAGATGACCTTGGGAGAGGTTGAGGAGTGTAACTTGGGGGGATAGGCCAGGGTCACTTTCCCCGCCCATCCTTTATGTAGGCAGCCCCGTGTCATAGACCCCCTCTGTGTCCCCTGCTGCAGCAAAGTCTGAGAAGGTAGTTGCTGGGAGCTGTTGGCCTGGATGGGCCCTCTACGCCCTGCTCGTGCCCCTCGGCCCCGGGGCCTGGGCTCCCGCTATCCCAGCCAGGGCCTGGGCAGGCGGCGATTTCGTCTCCGTCGCCTCCGACTGAGAACAACACCCCAGAGAATGTTCAAGCCCAGCCGGCCGAGGTACCGGACCCAGTGTGGGAACGCTGCCAATTTACTAACTTCCAGCTCCGGTTTGTGGCTCCTTCCTCATCAGCCCCTGGGTGTGTGAGAGCGTGGGATGGTCAGGCTGTGGAGGGATGGAGGGAGGACTGACGGAAGGAGGGAGGGGGGATGGCAAGGGCAGACAGGTGCTCAGCTTGGTCATGACCTCCAGCTTGGCACATCCAGGGGGATACTCAGAAGGGACCCTGGAGATCAGAGGATAGGATCAGATTTAGAGCCAGAAGAAAGACCTTGAGAGAGACCAGCTCTTTAAACACCCTTCCCCCTTCTTATTTTACAGAAATTTTGCAAGAAATTGAGGTCCAGAGAAGGGAAGGGACTGGTACAAGGTCATATAGCAAGTAAGTAGCCAAGCTGAGATTCAGCTCAGGGCCCAGTCCTCCTGCAGGAGTAGGCCCCCCCACCCCGATTTTGACAGCTTCTTCCCTAGATCCCCCAAGAGACTCTGCACTGATGCCCATGAGGGGACCTCTGAGGCTTGTGACTCCTGAACAGGCCCCGGACAAGAGGGCTCATGTGGGTACCAAAGTTAAAAGAGGAGGCAAAGCTTTTCAGAAGTGTCCCCGGGGCTGGGGCTGGGCAGGTAGAGGACCTGGTTGTCCATTTATAGACTCCTCCCAGCTCAGAGAACTTCCCTGCCTCAGCTCACCTCTGCCAGGAAGTCTTGCCTGACATTTCAGGTTCATGCCAGCCCCTCTGCCCTTGTTTCCTTCTCAGAGCCAAGGCCCAGCTGGGATTTGAATCCAGAGCTTCCCAGCTCCCAGAGCAGGCCCCTTCTCCTGTTCTGAGATTCTGGACTCCCTCGAGCACCCTGCCCCTGGACCCTTAGCACCATTCTTGGGGCTCTCTGCATCCCACTGACACAGCTTCTTTGCCTCATCCCTGCTGGGCCTAGCCTCACTGAGCAATCTCAGTCAAATCCTTTTTGCTCCAAGGCCATCTCCTTATCTATAAAGGGAAGGATTTGAGTTTGATGGTCTCCAACAGTCTTTTCAGCTCTGATTTTCCATGTTCTCCAAGCCCCTGATCTGAGAGGAGACACAGTTCTATCCTGAGGGGAACACAGCCCTGCCCTGGGGAGCCCCTAGTCTGAGAGGAAGATATAAGGTCTGCCTTGGGGAGCCCCTGATCTGAGAGAAGGACACATCCTTGCCTCGGGGAGCCCCCTAGTCTTAGGAAAGAGAGAGGCCTGCTCTCAGGGAGCCCTTTATCTGAGAGGAGTCCACAGCCCTGCCCTGGGAAGCCCCTAGTTTGAGAGGAGGATACAAGGACTGCCTTGGGGAGCCCCTGATCTGAGAGAAGGACATAGCTCTGCCCTGGGGAGCCCCTGGTCTGAGAGGGGTACACAGACCTGCCAGGTGGAGCCCTTGGTCTGAGAGGGGGGATTCAGTATTGCCCAGAGAAACACTCAGTCTGGGAGGAAACATAGCCTTGCCCGGGGGAGCCCCTAGTTTGAGAAGAGGATACAGGGTCTGCCTTGGGGAGCCCCTGATCTGAGAGAAGGACATAGCTCTGCCCTGAGGAGCCCCTGGTCTGAGAGGGGTTTACAGACCTGCCAGGAAGAACCCCTGATCTGAGAGGGGAACACAGCTCTGCCCTGGGGAGCCCCCTAGTTTTAGGAAAGAGACAGGCCTGCTCTCAAGGAGCCTTTTATCTGAGAGGAGTCCACAGCCCTGCTCTGGGGAACCCCTAGTTTGAGAGGAGGATGTAAGGTCTGTCTTGGGGAGCCCTTGATCTAAGAGAAGGACATAGCCCTGCCCTAGGCTATGATCTGAGAGGGGGATGCAGCCCTGCTCAGAGAAGCACTCAGTCTGAGGGGAGATGTAGCCTTGCTCAGGAAGCCCCAGACCTGAGGGGAAATGGCTGTGCCCTCCAGGAAGCTCTGGTCTGAGTGGGTTTTCAACACTGCTATGGCAGGGATAGGAGGGGAGGAAAGTCCCAGAGGCAGGGGCAGTTACTTGGAGAAATTTCCTGAAAGTAATGGAAGCCTCCCTTTCCCTCCCCTCCTTCTCTTCCCCCTTCTCTTCTCCAGCCTTTAGACAACTGTATCATCTGGGGAAACCACTCTTCTTCTGAGGAAAGACCCTTGTTTCCTGCGTGACTTGGCCACACAGAAACCCAGCCTTGGAGCAGCCATTGAATATATCTACTTCAGCCCTGTTGGTCTCAGCTTCCTTATTTCCTTTGGGGGTGATTCGGGGAACACAGAACTGAACTGCAGGCTGTCTGAGGAAGGGAAGAGGAAACTGAGGCCTGGAGCATGTATCTCAGGGAGGCAATGGCCAAGCTTGGACTTGATCCCAGGTCCTCTGACCCCTGAGCATTTGCTCTTCCTCCAGGGTCTAGGGCTCACTGGCAGCCAGCCTGAGCTCCGCCAGCAGCATGAGCTGGGATCTGAGTGCAGAAGCACCAGGCAGAGGCTGACAGCCGCTGCAGCAGGTGGGAGTGTGCTGTCCCAGAGTGCTCTGTTTGTCCTCTGAGCAGGAGCAGAGGCTGCCACTGCTGTCCCATCTGGCACAGTCAGGCCAGGAAGGCTACCTGGAGGAGGAGGAAAGAGGAGGGAGGGAGGCTAAGGAACGAGCATTCCAATTTGAGAGAGGAGGGAAACCTGGGGAGGGGACCTGAAAGCCAGCCGCAATCAGAATGCTTTCCTTATCTAGCTCAGCCTGGGAATCCCCCACGGTCCTTCTTGTCCACCTGCCCTCCCTCCTGGAGTGTTGTCCTGTCTCTCCATGGGTACTGGAGTCCTCATTCACAGCATCTGAGGGACCTTAGAAGCCATCAAGTTCAATCCTATCATTTTACATATGAGGAAACCAAGGCATAAAACTATTTTTGCCTCGGGTCATCCAGCTAGTAAATGTCTGAGGAGGGATTTGAACCCAGGTCTTCCTGACTCCAGGTCCAGAGCTCTATCCACTTGTTCTAGCCAGAGATTCAAGGGAGTAATAGGGCGTCTAGGAACCACAGGGATTTGGGTGGTGGGGGTGGGACAAGGAGAGGATTGTCTTTGGCCGACCCTAGCCAATGTCGGTGTGTGATGGGAGCCATGGCCAGACTATCCTGAGACACAGACTCTGGCAGGTGGTGGCAAGAGATGGCCCTTCAATCATGGGCTTCTGTCCAGACTAGAGGAAGGCTTCCTTTGGAGGATGGATAGAAAGGAGATGGGGCCAGAGTGCTGACTGGGGAGACCTGGGTTTTTCCCATCTAGATCACTGTGTGACCTGCTCTCCACTCCCTGCTCTCGGTGGCTTGGTGGAGAAGAGGGGAGACTGAGCTTACCAGCTCTGACTCATCGGAGTTTCCCTCTGTCCAAATATAATAACAGCTCACATCCAGGAAGCAGAGGCTGGGGAAGTGACTTGTTCAAGGTCACAAAGTATGTGAGCGAGTATGTGGTAGAACGCAAGTGTCCTGACTCCCAGCCCGGCACGCCCTTGCATGCAAACATGTCAGGAGTGCCTTCTGAGGCAGGAAGGAGAATGAGGGCACCCTTGGGGGTAGTCCTGGGGAGCTGCTTTGGCCAGAGCCCTAGGACTCTTTGTCCCAAAGCTTGGCCTCACAGGGACTCGATAGGGCTGGTTGTTCTGGGCTCTGCACTGGCTGCCCCACCCCACGCCCACCCCACCCCTGCTCACTCCTCAGGTTGGACCTGAGCCAGGACCCCTCCCTTGGGCCCAGCACTTTGACCAGCTCCTAAACCTTGACCTTTCCATGGGAGGCAGAATATGAACATTAAAAGACCAGGGTCCAAATCTAGCCTCTGACCCTCACTGGCCGAGTGAAGTTAGCCAAGCCATTTGTCGTTTTCTCGTGTTTAAATGAGAGGTTTGGGCCAGACAGCGTGTGAGGTCCTCTCAGGCTGTGGTGGTGAGCCCTGGGCTTATGGCAGCCCTGGACCTTGCCCTCTCCAAGCTCCCAGTCTAGACGAGGAGAAGAGGCCTGCACAGGTAGCCAAGAGCAGTAGAGGGTGCAAACCCAAGATGAGCTGGGAGGAGGACATGGGGCATGAGGGAGCGATGGCACCAAAGAGGCTTCTCCTAGAGGTGGTGGCCTTGGAAGACTGGCCACCAAGCTTTCACCCCCTGCCTGAGCCCCGCTAGTCCTTTCTGTCCTAGCCCTGCTTCCTTCCACCTCCTCCATGTTGTCCGCGCCAAGTCCCAGCTCCCTCTGCCCATTCCTCCGTAACTGCTCCAGACCAGACAAGGGCATTTCTAGGGCTTATTCACGTGGGCATAAAGAATATACAGATTCAGGACACCAGAGGGAGGTCATGAGCTTAATTAAGCAAGAGCCCCGGGCTGGTCCAAGTCCATCGGTGTGCCCCGAGGATATTGGTGTTTGTAAAACCTTCCTGGCCAGAAGAGCTGTCCCCAAATGAGAAAGGATACCTTGGTGGGTGGTGTGCTGCCCATCACTGGAGGTCCTCAAGATGTGGCTGCATCGTTTGGCTGTAGTACAGGAGACCCGCATTGGGCAGGGCTCAGACTCCATAAGGTCCCTTCCAACCCTGAGCATCTGGGATCCTGAGCGGTGGGGAACCACAGACACCACCTTGGCTGTGCTTGGAGATCCTTCCTGCTTTGAGACAGAAAGCTGATCTTACTCCTGGGCCCCAGCCTAGAATGGCAGGATCTTTGGACCAATGAGCTGCTCGGTCCGCTCTACCAGGCCTGTCTCCATCTTGGGCAATTAATAGCTGCTTGAGGGCATGTTGGGTGTGGGTGCCATGCCCATATGAATAAGGGCAGGATGAATAAGGATGAACTGGAGATGACATCCTTGCCCCAACTCAAGAGGAAATTGGGGACCCAGGACTGTGAGACACTCCATTCTCTCACCTCAGAAAACCATGAAAATTTCCTTTGCCCAGTAATTCATTCCTTCCTTCCTTCCCTGTTATTCACTTCATTTATTCATTCCTTCAATAAGTCATTCATTCACTCACTCATTCAGTTAGTCATCCATTGGCTAGCTGACTCATTCCACATACTCAGGACAGTGGGGACACGCAAATGGACAAGGCCCCATTCCTTCTGGCCTTCTGCGGGGGGAGGTGTCACTTGTGGGCTGGATAAGGGGACAGATATTCCGAGATTCATTCCCTGGCTCTGCCAGGACCTGCCATCAAGTCCTGGATTCCCAGACCCACATTTGAGCTGACTGAATATCCAGCTGTGATTTCCATTTGCCCTGGAACCTCCCCAGGGGACAACACTTCCCTTACCCACCCCTAAGCTGAGGCTGGGGGCCTGGGACTTCTGACATTGTATCTCTGTGTCTCTGTCTCTGTCTCTCCCTCCCACCCCTCTCCTCTTTCTCTCTCCTTCCCCCACATACATATACTGGTAGCTGGGGGACGTGAGACCTCCTGTTTCTTTCTACATCCATGCTGCTAAACAAAACTGAAGAAAATCACAAAACCGTGCTGACTAGGTCCACTACAAATTTATATATACATAACCTCAACTGGACCCTCACTGCTGCTCGGCAATTCCTTTACATCTCCCTAATGAACTCACTCTCTGGCCCACCACACCAACTGTTCCAAACGTTCTCATCCTCTTCAAACATCCTATGAAGTCCACTCACTGTTGTTTACTGAAAAAAAATCAGGCCATTCACTGAGAGCAATCTCTTCTCCCCTCCTCATATCACTTAGATTCCTTCCTTCTGCCACTGTCTTCTTCACTCCTGTATCACATGAAGAGGTAACCCTTCTCCTTACCAAGACAAACCCCTCTGCACGTACAAGTAATCCCTTCCAGCCCATCTTCTCTAAGATTGCTCCCTCTATCATCCCTGCTTTCTCACTTACCAATCTCTTTGTCTATTGGCTGCTTCCCTCACTAAACATGACCATGTCTCCCCCATCCTCAAAAAACCCTCCTTTGATCCGACCATTCCTGCCAGCTGCCATCCCATATCTTTCCTCCCTTTTGTGGCTAAATCTCTTGAGAAGGTTGTCTACATGTCCTTTCCTCGCATTCTCTTCTTAACCCTCTATAGTCTGGCCACTGGAAGTGTCCTTTCCAAAGTTACTAATGAGCTTGGAATCACCAAATGCTGTGTTCTTTTCCTCATCCTCATTCTCCTTGGCCTCTCTGTAGCCTTTGACACTGTGGATCGCCCTCTTCTCCTTGATGCTGTCTTCTCTCTTGGGTTTCAGCACTCTACTTTCTCCTGGTTCTACCTATCTGACCCACTCAGGTTCCTTTGCCGGATCTTCATTCATGTCCTACCTGCTGATTGTGGGCACCCCACAAGGCTCTGTCCTGGGCCCTCTTCTCCATCTATACTATTTCACTTGGAGATCTCACCAGCTCCCGTGGGTTCCATAGTCATCTCTATGCTGACGACTCTCAGTTCTACATATCCTGCCCTGCCCTTTCTGCTGCCCTCCAGACTCGTGTCTCCAGCTGCACATTGGACATTACTGTTGAGGGCATCACCATCCTCTCATTCACCCAGGCTTACAACCCAAGTGTCCTCACTGACTCCACTCTCTCTCACCTCCCGTATTCAGCCTTCCAGTTAGTTTATCATTTCTACATTTGAAACATCTTTAAGATGCATCCCTGTCTCTCCTCTAAAGGTGCCACCACTTTGGTGGGGGCCCCCATCATCTGCTACCTGGACTAGTGCAAGAGCTCCTGGTGGGTCTGTCAGGCTCAAGACTCCTCCCAGCCCCAATTCCAATCCCTCCTCCTTTCACACCCCAAAGTAATTTTCCTAAATTGTAGGTCTGACCATGTCACACACGTCCCCATGCAATAAACTCCAGTGGTTACCTATCACCTCCAGGATCAAATACAAAATTCTATGTGGCATTCAGAGCCCTTCATAACCCAGTCCCCTTTCCTTTCCAATGCTCTTCCACCTTCCACCTCCTTCTTCCCCTGTATTCAGAAATCCATTCACACTGATTTTGCAGTTCCTCTCACAAGGGGTGGGGGCAGGGAACAAACATTTGTTAAGTGCCTACTGTGTGCTATTGCTGTGCTAAGTACTATACAAATATTATCCCACTTGATGGAAAAGAAATTCCCTATCCCCATTCCAGGCATTTTTCTGTCTGTCCTTCAAGCCTGGACTGCTCCCCTTCCTCATCTCCATCTCCCCACTCCTCTGGCTTCCTTCGAGTCCCAGCTAAAATCCCACCTTCTGCAAGAAGACTTTCCTGATGCCCCTCCGTGAGAGGGCCATCCCCCTGTGCTGATGCCTGCTTTGTCCTGACTGTGGCTTGTTTGTACAGAACTGTTTGCATCTTGACGGTGAGAGTCTTGAGAACAGAGACTGTCTTTTGCCTTTCCTTGTCTCCCCAAATGTTTATTCACTGACTTTGTCTCTGGATCTTTGTTACACACACTGGGGGTAAAGGCTGGGAAGCCTGGGACCCCTGACCCTGTATCTCGGTCTCTCTCACACACGCTGCACACACTGGAGAAGGTCATCTGACTCTCTCAACTACACTGGGGGTGAGGGGGACTGTGGGAGTCAGTGACGTCAGCTCCTCCAGGCTATTTCTGGCTCCAGGTCGGTTAATTCCTGCTTCTCTTGGCCTCTCTTCCAGAAACCACGTCTAATCCTGGCGGGCTGCCTGGGGTGGCGGGAAGGCCTCAAGAATTGCAAGACCCACCCCCAGCCCTCCCTCGAATGTCCTTAGCCTCAGGGATTGGGGAGGGGGGGTGGGGAGTCAGCCAGCCTCCTGCTTCAGGCCTCAGGAGTCCCTGACCTTGTCATTCAAAGCCCTCAGGATACTGTCTCCATCTTGGGTCCCAGCTGCAAAGTCGCAGAGCACTTTGCAGGCACATAGCATCTCCCCTCAGCCCGGCTCCCACTCTCATTTCTGGGGCACAGCCTGGTAGGGAGGGCCAGTAACTCTTAAGTCTTACAGATGGGAAATCGGGGATTAGCCTCAGGTCACGTATGAAGCCCAGGCCTCAGCTGACCTAGGCCTAGTGCACCATACGGGCCATTGGCTACTGTCCCAGGCTGGGGCAGGCCCACGTGAGCTCTTCCTGGCCAGCAGGCCACTAGCCCCCCAAGTTTCTCTGGATCTGGGGCTCCCCTCGAAGGCCACATAATCGAACACTAAGCACTGACTACACACCTACTGTGTACCAGGCACTGTACTGGTTAAACGGACAATAGAAACAGTGCCTGCCCTCAGGAAGCTTCCGCTCTTGCTGGAGAGACAAGTGAACCTAAAACACAAATGAGAGACTGGATGAGGACCAGGACAGAGCGTGTGTGCTGTTCAGCTCCCTCCATGCACGTGTCCACCCCTTCATCTTTGCCCCAAACCTGCTCTTCCTCCTGTAGCTTCACCTCCAGCCCCTCCCCATTCCATTTTTAAGTCTTGACTCCCGCTCCACAGTCTCAGCCTCATCCATCCCCTTCTCTCCACTCACGTTGCCACCCCTCAAGTTCAGGCTGTCATGGCCTCCTGCCTAGACTTCTTACTACAATCTGAAATACCTGCTGGGGGGCAGAGGCTCAGTTTGGCCCTGGAGGGAGAAAGACACCGCCCCTAGAGCTCCTGGTCTGGGAGGGGATAAGGAGAATTTGTAGACAGCTGCAAAGTAGCCTCAAGATAAGGATATCAGCTATGTGGTGGGAAGGGCTTCCTCAGGCCCCAGGGGGAAGGTAGGTCTCTGGAGGAAGCCTTCAGGTTAGGCTTTAAAGAGTGGGGAGGAGAGGATTTCTACAGGTCCCAGGCATCATGTGTCTCCAGCCTCCCCTCCTGTTCATCTTCTATTGGATAGGTGTGCATAATGTCCTTCTCAGAAATCTTCAGTGGCTTTCTATTCACCCCTGCAGAGTTTACTTCTGGTTTCCTCCTTGCCAACAAGCCCCTTCCTAAATACCACCCAGGACCAGGGCTTTGAGGGAATTGCTTTTCTCACTTTACAGATGGGAAAATCAAGACCCATCGAGAGACAGCAATGTACACAAGGTCATGCAGCTTAAGGAAGTCAGGGTGGAGCACGGCCTGGAACACAGGCCTCCTGCCTGGAAAGGGTGGGTAGTACAGAGCCTGGCACAAGAGCTGGGCAGGGTCAGGCAGAAGGAAGCCCTGGGCCATGGGGAGCGGGAAGCCTTTTGAGGAGTCCAGGTGCTTGGGGCCTTGGGGCCTGGCTGCCTCCCCCAGGCTGGTCTTGCTATTCCCTGTTCTGTTTGCCACAGGAAAAGCAGGTTTGGCAGCTCGGGGAGGAGGAGGAATGAAGGGGAGGGGAAGGACAGGGCTGCCCAGAGGCCAGGTGTCCAAGGCTTCCAGGAGGCCAGGCAGGGCAGGAGCATCCATGCAGGGTCCAGCCAGGTGTTCCCATCAGAGTACTGGATCCCGAACCAGAAGATCTGGGTCTGGGATGTACCTGTGCAGCCTGGAAATCCTCTTCTGTGGGCCTGATTCCTCACCTGGAAAATAAATGGGCTGGAGCAGGTTACCTCTGATGAGTACTCCAGCTCTGGCCAGGTCAGAGCTAATACGGCCCTAGGCCTCACCGAGACAGGCAAGTTCCAGGAAGGAGGTGACAGCTAGTTCTGTTCTTTGTCCTCAACACATCTCATTTGGAGGAGCGGATGTAACAATTTAAGAACACTGACAAGCTGGAGTGTGCTCAGAAAAGAGCCGACGAGACGCTGAGCGCTCTTGTATCTGCACGCTAGGGGTTTGTGCTTGCAAACTTTGGGCAAACTTTCCCAAAGTCCCAAAGAAAAAGGGACTGCCTGGGGAGATGGAGAGTCTGCTTCCCGTGAGGCCTGGGCGCAGGCCTGTTTCTCCTGCTGGCCCTAGCAGAGGCCCAGTGCTGTTGGGCATGGGGCTGGACACCTTGGAGGGCTCTCTCCAGACATCCTGGAGTCCTTCAATGCTGTGGCCCTGCCCTAGGAGTCAGCACCTCTGGGCTTCTCTGCCCATGGCTTCCAAGGTGAATTTGGGCAAGCTCCTTCCCCTCACTGGACCTCGGTTTCCAGGTCCTGAGGATCTAGGCTTGACTAACTCATCAATAACAAGAAACCCAGATGTGGTCACATAACGTGCTTCGTGTCAGAGGCCCCACCCTAGGCTAAGCTCAGGCCTAAGGGTTCTGATCCACAGGCCCTCTGTCCTGGGTCCTACTCTTCCTGTCCTCCTCAGTGGCTCCAGGAAGCCTGGGAGGTGTGGGGGCTCAGAGGGCAGTCATAGGAAAAAGTAGGAATGGAAAGGGGGTAGCTGTGGAGGAGTGACAAAAAATCAGCGTCAGAGACTGTGCCTTCCCCCTTCTGGGGCTCAGTTTCTTTCTCAGTCAAAAGACGGGGGGTTGACACTGAGATGTCTTGGCCCCAAGATGCGAGGGTGACCCCAGCTCCAGCTTGCTACAAGCTAGGAGTCTGGGCTGTGCTCAGGCTGCTGCTGAGGCTGAGGATCCCGTGGCAACACAGAGGCTCTTGTCCTGACTGTATGCCTAGGGAGGAGACACAGACTGTGGGGCCCTGGGGCCCTGCCCCGTTCCGATTGCTTGGTGCTACCTTTCCACCTGGGAGTCCAGGCTCCTCTGGGAGACTATCAGCTCTGGGGGGGGGACAAGGAGGCCTGCTTCTCCATCTCTGATGTCCTCAACAGGAAAGTCAGATTCAGACTCTTTGAGCTGGGCGGAGCCACTCAGCTGCAGACAAGTTTTCAGCCCCCCCCCCATGATTCCCTGCATCTCCTACAGGCAAGGCAGCCCCCCCATTGCTGGGATACTGAACAAAGGACTCTGAGTTAAACTAACCTGCTGTTTTCTGTACCAGTTGAATGCTTCCCCATCTGAAGACGGCCTTGACAAAGTGAAGCGTTCAGTTGGAAATTCAAGCCACAAACAAATATGATGGCGTATCTGTCCTCTATTTCACTCACCTTAGGAGCTAATGATGGAGAAGTGAGCCCTTGGTCTCTGAAAACCTAACAAATAAATATGTGTTTTGAAGAGTCCAGTCAAAATCGTGATTAGCCATGAAAGTATCTTTCCTTTCTCTCTCCTTCACTCCCTCAACCAGTTACAATGCTCATAGATCCCAAAGCTCTGGTAACGGAAGTAATTGACGACCCTTTGCTCCCCTATTAATCAGTGCTGTAGGACCCCTATGAAGTGAGGAAACCTGGAAAAACATCACTGACAGGTGTCAGAGAGGGGAACTTTCCAGTATAAACACAGGAAGCTGGGAACCCCTCACAAACTGAGCTGATGCTGCAAGCAGCTAGTGGAGATATTTCAAGATGCAGATCCCTAAACTTGCACCATCCCCGGTCTTCAGCCCTCCTGAGAGCTCCATTGATTCCAGGGAATAATAAATCTCATTGGCGTACGTATGGTTTGTGTGTGAACTCTCTTTCATAGTGCTGATTTGCTAATTTACCACACACACACACACACACACACACACACACACACACACACACACACACACACACACACACACAGCACTCACTTAGATAAGCATTTGCTCCTATATATAGGAAATAAGAGATGGAGTCAGGATAGCAGGAAAAAAAGTATAGAGAGTTCCCCCAACTGCTCAGAACAGATCTAGAAAATGCACCAGACCAAATCCTGATTGAGAAATCTAAGAAACAAATCACAATGAATCATTTTCCCAGCCTAGGTCAACATAGGAAAACAAAGAGATCTGTGGATTCTGGAGACTGAGTCCCACTAGGAGGACGTTGGGGTGAGTATTCCAGCACAGGAAGAGATTCTATAGCAAGGCGAGAGGAGATCCCAGATCCAGCACAGAGGGGCCTAAAACTTAGCAGGAACAGGGATGAGCCAGCAGATTCCAGATGATTCCAAAGGTTCATGATGAAACATGCTTGCTCTCTCCTAATAGAGAGGTAATATACTCAGTGCAGCCTGAGACACATTTTTTGGACATGGTCAATGGAATTTTTTTGCTTGACTTTACATGTTTGCAACAAGGGTCTTATTTTTCTTGCTTTCTCAACTAGAAGGTGGGGTGGGGTGAGAGGGAGATAAGGTGAATTTTTGATGATCAAAAATTTTTAATCTAATTTTTTTAAATATAGGAAGTAAAATGGATAGGATCAATTCTCCTTTTCATTTCAGGAATATCCTACAAACCCCAAGATAACACTAAATCAGCCTCAGAAAATCATCCAGTACAACTGATCCATATGCATGGCAACAATATTGAAGTAGGGAGAGCAAATATTATGCCCATTTAATAAATGAGGAAACTGAGGCTCAGGCTAAGTGATTTGTCTGTGATCACACAGCTAGGAAGTGGGGTAAAGCCAGGATTTCAACCTAAGCTCCAAAGCCAGTGAATTTTACATCTCATTCCCTGACTCCCTCCAAGGGATATCTGGAGAATAATGGATCTAGGATTTCATGGATAGGTATGGTGCCTCCTCTGATGCAGACAGCGACTCATCCATGAATGCCTATCCTGTGGAAGCCTTGTCAGTGTCCTAGCGTAAGGTGGACACAAGGCCCATCCAAGGTGCTATGAGACTCTTTTGACATTGGCCATCAAACGGAGCACAAAGCCTACCCATCAGTTATCTCTGGTTCTTGACATTTAAGGAGAACCCAGAACTCGAGAGTTGGAAAAGATCTCAGCAGCCACCTAGTTCAACCTGTCTCCAGAAGGGATCCCCACCGTGACTCGCTGGACAAGTAGTCACCTGGCCTTTCCTTGAAGAATCTCACAGAGGGGGAATTCCCCCCTGCTGAGGAAGCCAACTTTGGACACTCCATCCCATTGCCTCTGCTCGCTATTGTCCTTATCCCACCTCTCTTTCTTTTTTCTTTTTTTCAGGGAATTGGGGTTAAGTGACTTGCCCAGGGTCACACAGCTAGTAAGCGTCAAGTGTTTGGTCTGAGGCCGGATTTGAACTCAGGTCCTCCCGACTTCAGGGTCGATGCTCTATCCATTGCACCACCTAGCTGCTCCCCCACCTCTCTTTCTTAGACAAATTCCTGGGACACTGAGCTGTCTCCACTGTCTCCCTCCACTTTTTCTCCTCTCACCCATATCTTAACTCTCTGTAGTCTAGCTTCTGACCTCATTATTCAACCAAAACTTTCTCTGAAGTGACCAGTGATCTCTTAATTGCCAAATCTAATGGCTTCTTCTCAGTCCTGCTCCTTCTTGACCTCTTCAGTATGTGACAATGTTTGTCGCCTTCTTTTCCTGGATACCATCCCCCTCTAGGTTTTCATGACACTACCTGTCTGCCCCCAGTGGGTCAGTCTCTTTTGATGGATTTTCATCCATGTCACACTGGCTGTGAATGGACCCCAAGCCTCTCTCCTGGGTCCTCCTCTGTTTTCTACATTCTTTCTCTTGGTGACCTCATTAGCTCCCAAATTCTAATCTCCAGATGACTCATAAATCTATAGATTTGTCCCCATTCTCTTCTGAGTTCAGTCCCCATTGCCAATTTTATATTGGACATTTCAAACTGGATTTCTAGGGATCACTCACATTCCACGTGTCCAAAACAGAAACTCATTATCTTTGCCCTCAAACTCCCCAGCTTTCCTATTTTTGTCGAGGGTTCTACCATCCTTCCATTTTCCAAG